TCTATCCGGGAGGTTTATCTTCAGCTGGACTTTAATAGGCTGTAAGGGTATACCATGAGATAGTGTTCCGTCTCCGGTTGACGCATTCGTGCGGCAGCGATTGCTACAGCTGCAGCTGCAGCGTGGCCCCATGTAAAACAACAAGAATAATTTAAAATTAAAAATTTTGTACAGCCGACTTCAATATTAGTTATTAAGAATAACTTAAAAACTATTGGTCTGACCTTGATCAAATTCATATGGGACCACAAGAGATGTATCAGCTTTCATATAAAAAAAGAATCATCGAAATCGGTCCACCCAGTAAAAAGTTATGAGGTACCACACATAAAAAAACATACAGTCGAATTGAGGACCGTCTCCTTTTTGGAAGTCGGCAGAAAATACAACAATATTGCTGTAAAAACTTTCCAGCGCTATTAATCCTAAATAAGCCTTTGGAAAACAGGGTGAAAGGGCAATCAGTGGTGTGCGAGGGTAAGGCTGGTGAGATGAGAGGGAAGATGACGATGGATCGATGAGCGGCGACACTCCGGCGCCACAGTCACGGGCGTTGGCACACTGAGTGCAAATGAGTTTAGTTGGTTTGGTAAGAAAATTACATAAATGTATTTTATTTTCGTTAAAAGCTAGTAACTGTGTAGAATTAAGCTATGTACTATTAAAATAAAACAAATTAAAATTTTATTGTCATTTTCCGAAAATGGTTAGACCATAGACCACTACAAATTTGTACAGAATTGTACAGAAGACCGAAGAGTACAACCTGCCACTTTGCCTTGTGTATGTGGACTATGAGAAAGCCTTTGATTCTGTCGAAATTTAGGGGGTGCCAAGTTGACTGTCGGTATATCGCATTGCTGAAGTGTTTATACAGTAGGTCTACGATGGCTATCCGAGTACAGAACCCGAGTACGAAGGCTATCCAACTGCAGAGATGTGTAAGACAGGGTAATGATATATCCCTGAAACTCTTCACCGCTGCATTGGAAGACCTTTTCAAGCTACTGGACTGGAAAGGATACGGTATTAACTTCAATGGCGAGTACATCACTCACCTTCGATTTGCCGACGATGTAGTCCTTATGGCAGAATCGCTGGAGAGACCTAAGCACTATACTCAATTTACGCAGTAGACCCAGAGTGACTGACATAGCCCAACGGATTAGTCAGCTGAAGTGGCAATGGGCCGGCCATATAGCTCGAAGGACCGACAGCCGATGGGGAAAAAAGGTTCTCGAGTGGCAGCCTCGTACCGGTAGACGAAGTGTAGGGTAACCTCCACTAGATGGAGTGACGACATGCAGGAAATCGATGGATGCAGGTGGTTCAGGACCGTACTTTGTGGCATTCCTCGATGGAGGCCGATGTTCAGCAGTGGACTTGTGAAGGGCTGTAATGATAATGGTAATGATGATTGTCACTTTAAAGAAAATATATTTTGTACATACGCAGTAAGTGGATACAAAGGGACATGAAACAGGAGATGTGCAGTAACATCTTCCTTATAACAAATTCTAAATAATAAGATATTGCTGCCAACTCACCTGCCAAGCGTAACAACTATTGCAATAATAAATTCCCCGTCCTCCCATGCAGCAATCTATAGACTATGTATGATTAGAGTTGAAATCAAATTACTTAAGAGCTGCTTTCGTTTTTTTTAAAGCGTTACCCACACTTCGAATTTCTGTTGTTTTTGGAGGATTTTTATAGGCTTAACTTACAAACATTACTTATGTACAAACAGTCAGAATGAAGACGAAGGCAAACTAGCAGCGTTCTTCGTTATCTTTATATATAAAAATTACGTGTCACATTGTTTGTCCGCGATGAACTCCTAAACTACTGAACTGATTTCAATGAAATTTGCACACTCTGTGCAGTTTGGTCCAACTTGAGAGATAGGATAGTTTTTATCCTTATAAGTGACACCCAATATTTTTTTATTACGAATTTAAGGATTTTTTATATGAAGGGTCGTCGAAAAGGGCAGAACAATGTCTGCCTGGTCAGCTAGTAATCTTATATTTATTATATTGTTATATTAGAGTTGCCAGTAACATTTGTACAGAAACGGCCAATTCTACAATGTTAATAGTAAACCGCAATTACTTGACATTAAGTATAATGATGAAAAAATTACTGTCACTGAATGTACCACATTTTTAGGTATAAATTTAGACAAACACTGTAATTGGAAAGATCACGTTGATAAAGTTTGCTCTAAAATATTTAAATTTAATTTTGCTTTACGTAGACTAGCTTCAATCTCGTCAAGAAACACTTCTCTTATAGCATATCATGCATATGTTGCTGCTGTATTAAGATATGGTCTCATATTATGGGGAAACACGACAGATGTGAACCGTACTTTTATAGCGCCAAACGCTGTATACGAGCAATCTGTGGCGTCGGGCCACTTGTTTCTTGCAAACCACTATTTAAAGAATTAGGTGTTCTTACTCTGCCATCCATGTACAGTTTTGAGCTTTCCATATTCGTAAAAAAGTATCCTCATTTTTTTACTAAATTAAAAGATACAATGAAATATAGTACCAGATACCCCGTAAAAATTATTTTGCCTTCATTAAAAACTAGTCTGTACTCAAAAAATTGTTATGTGATGGCTATTCAAGTGTTTAACAAAATCCCAAATGAAATAAGGCAATTAGATTATAATCGATTTAGACGTAACTTATTAAAGTGGCTTTTCGAAAAACAATTTTATTCGGTAAATGAACTGCTGAAACTAAAAGAACGTTTCTAGTGACTGTTAAAACGCTTTTTCTTCTTTGGTCGTATTTTAAATTGTTAATATCAAAATAGTAAACTGATGCACGTTTAATTTTAGTTAAATATATTGTATTTTCTAATCATAAGTTTTCATATACCAAAATTGGTGAAATATGTAATACTTTATTATTTCATATGAACATCTTTGTACCATATTTCTTATGAATAAATTTATTATTATTATTAAATATCTCTTTCCCTAATTTCAATCTATACGCTCGCATCGTCAGAAAATCAAAAAGTTTCAGTGTGTCCCCGGTCTTAGTCTCATCTCCCGTGCGGATGTGCCCAAGAAGCAGTAGATATGTGCGCGCGACTCTTGTTGTCCTATAAAGAATACTTTTACTCGAGTTGGTAGTGTACGGTAGTACGGTAGAGCAGAAATAAAAGTATATTAATTTAAAATTTTATAGTAATTAAGATTGATAATATTTTTTAAATCTACATGTGGTTACTACGAGGAAATAATGTACAGTTTTCTCCAGTAAGGATTAGGTATGTATTGTTTTATTTATAATGTTAGAGCGAGTGGTGATAGTCAATAAAGTATTGGCTGGTGCCAATGGAGTCCAAGAGTCCATAAAAGGCAGAGTTTTAAAAATATCTCATATATTGTATGTGGTAGAGTCAGGCTTAAGAAAGTTATAACATCTAGTAAAAAACATCCACTACCTTGTGATTTCTCGTTAATCATTCCAACTAAGCTTCATATTATGCTTGTGTTAATAGGTTCATAACAAGAGTTAAATGGCGTATTCGAACTCACGACCTTTTAGTACAATAGTCTGTGCTGTTAACAATCAGGCGACTGTGGTCACATAAAATGTAACAACTGTTTCTCCAAATTCCACCAGACATTGCCGTTCCTCCTAACCCAGTGCCAACAGCAGATGGATCTTTGATTTGAGCTGCCTTGACGCCCTGACTTTTACTTCTTAAATCCTGGTCCAAACGAGCAGAGCAAAGATCGTCAGAGGTAAGAGTAAAATTTCTTTTACAATTTTTTACATGTTGGAGCCACGCTGCAGTTATAGTATGGTTGTAGCAAGAACGGATCGGTACCACCGGGGAATCAAGAATCAAGAATGAAATGATTAATGATGGGAATGACCATGATTTCTCAAAATACCAGCGTAAAATATCAGCTTAATATTGCTGTGTTTTTGTATGGTGAGTGGAGAGAACCGGACACCCTTTTTATTGGCTGGTAACAATAGCAATCCCAACAGCACCCTGAACGCATTGTTGTATTGGACACGCAGGACGTTGTATGCCTGCTGTCTATATCTAACCTACAAGTTACATGTGTAAAAGCACTGAAAATACGCTTTAAAAAGTGTTACTTTTACTTCTTTAGTACATCGTGCAAACCTGTTACTGCTGTTTACTGCTTTTAGGTATAATTTTTTTATAGAATAAGTGTGACAAACCAGCACACAGTCCACCTGATGGTAAGTACTTGCTGTGGCTCATAGACATCTACATCTATCTTCGTTTGCGAGTTAAAATTCAGATGCGTTGTCAGCCGTGAGGACTGAGATAGAATGCCTCTTTTCTAGTAAAGGGTCTCTGTATCTATGTTTGTATATATCATATCTGTACAGTTAACATTTTTTGTATCTGCTCCAGTGGTGTGCCTTTAAAAATATGGAAATTTATAAATTACTAGCTGCTACCCCCGCATTGCCACCACAGAAGAAATACTTGTGGAAATATAGTTTGATATTTAGAAAAGTTATATTGTGTAATTATAAATGATTATGATAAATATATAACTTTCAAATAAATTTGTCGGTACGATACGCACGCTACCTACTATAAGTTAATTGTACTAATAAGTTAACAAAGTTTTGCCGCAACCTGATGAACGGTATGGCAGCGCCTAAAACACGAACCATCAAACTTTAATTTTTATACATTAGATTTATTATAGGCTGTCAACTTGTTGGAAGACAAAATAATTTTCTATCGCTTATAAATGCGCTTTGACCCGCTCTTATACATTAGATCTTATAAATGCGCTTTGACCCGCTCTCGATCTTAAGAAGTCTATATCGTAGTTAGAGACCCTCGGATAATCACAACGCAACCTGAAACCAACAATTTGTGTTAAGTCACTAATGTTGGCCCTGTCCGTAGCAGTCGGGTGCTGTGACCACTAGGCCACTGTTTCTATTTCATTCAGGCGAGTGGGTGTAAGCGGGATGGGCGGCGCGACTGCGGTTCTAGGCGTGGAAGTCTGCGCGCCGCTGCTCATGCTGTGCTGGCTCTGCTGCTGGCCAGATGACGGCAATTCAGGTTTGTAGCTGTACACACACTAGACCACTTCGACCAAAACATCGCCAGATACCTCTGGCAATAACAATACACAGACCTAGTGAATCACCTAGTGACACTTATACCTAGTGAAACACCCATCTAGTGACACATATGATATCCAGCCCAAATATTTATTAAAATATAAAAAAATTATTTAATAAATTATCTAATAAAAAAAAACCAAAACATCGCCGATCCATCACACAATGACATTACACACACCTAGTGATCCACAAATGTATGTTACACACGTGACATTTTGGACATTTGAACTCAACATATTAGGATTCAGTAGTGTGTTAGGGTTTTACTTTTTAGCCAGTTCAAAGCCAGTGTTTAACTACAATGGTCCCTAGTATTAAGAGGTGATGAAACCCTAGATAGTAAACCTCACTATCTTTTTGAGACAAAAACTTATTAACTGTTGTCTTGCATACACCCATAGTATCGTCTAGTGGCCGTTTAGCAATATACACTATATCCACTGACAAGAGATAAAATTATCTTGTCCTTATGCCAAAGCACGGCAACGGGGAGAATTATATCCCCGTTTGACATAACGAGTAGACATAATATCCCCGTCCGAAACATGGAGCCAAATGAAAGATAAAAAATATGCTTTTTTGACATTTGAAAGGGACAATTTTATCCTCGTTCGTAGTCGTGAGTTTAAATTTATATTCATACAAAAATCTGTCTAAATCTAAGTCTATCTCCCATTTATTTACTGTGGATATTATATTCACCGGTGTGCACGTACTCAAAGGGTGGATAAAACTAAGCGAGGGGATAAACATTTTCTCCTTTTCCCGAGATAAACTTGTCTCCTGCCCAGGCTAGCCCTGCAGGAGCACATGACCCGCTGAGAGGGGAAATTATTAAATCAACAGTAACATTACAACTATGGCAAATATAGGAGCAATCAAAATAAAAGAAAAGTTGACAAGAAAGGTTTTGAGGCCCACGGAGTAGAAAGGAGAGGAAGGAATTAAATCATACGCTTTCATCAATCATCTACACTCACAGAATATCAGCGTAAAATAGCAGTTTAATGCTGTTCTATTTCGTATGGTGAGTGTAGAGAACCGGAGACCCTTTTTACTAGAAAAGAGGCATTTTATCTTAGGCTTCACGCATCTGCATTTTGATTCTTTATTGAGGAGTAGATGTCTATGGCCCACAGCAACCACTTACCATCAGGTGGACTGTGTGCTCGCTTGTCACCATTATTTTATAAAAAAGAAACGCGTTCAGGTAAGTAATAAAAAAAAGATGCGCACTTGGAAAACTTGTGTTTAGGATCCATATCCATATCGATATCATTTTCGACAAATTTCACATTGTGGAGTTCGTTTCTCGGTAGTGCTGACCTATATAACGTATTGTAACCTATGTGTAACAAAATTATATTGATTGCCTCGTTAGTCTAGTAGGTGGTGTGCATGATTGCTGGTCATGAGGTCCTTGATTCGAATCACGAGTCGGGCCAAAAAATACAGTTATTGAGTTTTTCTGTCAAGAAATTCTCAATAGCTACCTGGAGACAGAAAGTTGGCAGTGTCTAACCTCCATGCCTCGGAGAGCACGTAAAACCGCTGGTCCTGCGCCTGATCTCTCTCCAGCCGTCGCGGTTTACCATCCATCGGACTATGAGAGTGAGGGAATAGAGAGTGAGAGAGACCTGAACTTGCGCATACACTTGGGCACTATAATCTTGTCCTGCGAAGATGGCCAGTCTATGATGAGGTTGGCCATGACCGAAATGCAGTGAGGTATTAAGATAACACCAGTTATTAACCATTTATAACTTCTAATTTCAGACACTAGCTCCGGAAAACACCCCAAAAAACCAGTGATTACTAATGGTGAGTTATTTAAAATATGCAATAAACTGCATCCTTTTTATATGCAAGTTAGCATAGCCCGGTATTAGGTAAATGGATGTTGAAAGAGTAAGCGGTCCATTGTACGGTTTATACTACGTCCACATGTTCTGGCTTGACATGAGGCGAGACATGAGGACAATGACAACAAATCTAGATTAAAAAAGGAGTAATTTATGTTTATAATGATAAAAATATCTGGAGCTGGCACACGAGGTGACCGACATGTGGGGTAGTCTGGCGGCCGAAATCATTCCTGTGGTCGTTTCGTCGTTCCTCGAGTATTCAATCCGAATGTTAAGTATTTTTTTATAGGATAGAGTGACAAACAAGCACACAGTCCACCTGATGGTAAGTGGTTGCTGTGACACATAGACATCTACATTTATCATCAACAAAGAATCAAAATGCAGATGAGTCGTCACCCGTGAGGACTAAGATGAAATGCCTCTTTTCCAGTAAAATAGGTCTCCGGTTCTCTACACTACGAAACACAGCAGTGTTGAGCTGCTATTTTACGCTGGTACTCTGTGAGAGCGTGAAGCGTCGTTCCCTGGTCGAGCTGACGCATTTGTGCTACAACTATACTACTAATATACCTAAAAACTTGCAGCCTGGCTCTTCCACGTATAAACTATAGTCGTTTTTGCAAAACCGGTAAGCTTCTCGGGTTATCTGAGGCAACTGGGACTCCATGAGGGACCGCTCTGAGCGCAAATGCAGCAGGCGGTGTGCCTCGCACTGTCTGCCCGCATCGTTTTCAACAGTAGTAGAGCCACGCGGCAGCTTTTGCTGTCGCACGGATGGGCCGGCTCGAACCGGGGTAGTACCACGACCTCACAGAAAACCAGCGTGAAGTAGAGGTTTACCTCTGCGTTTCGCTTGGTGAGTGCAGGTGGCCGGAGGCCCTTTTTACTGGAAATGAGGCATTCCATCTTAGTCCTCACGGGTGACAACGCATCTACATTTTGATTTGTAACAGAGGATAGATGTAGATGTCTATGGGCCGCAGCAACCACTTACCATCAGGTGGACTGTGTGCTCGTTTGTCACCCTTACCCTATAAAAAAAATCGTCCACTGGTTTTCTTTCCCCTTCCCTCTAACCCTCGGCCGTTTAGTCTCCCCTGCCGAGGGCCTCCATCTGGCTGGGCTTTTATTTATTTATGTATATTTATCATTTTCATTTATATATTCCATCCAGGTGAGAAAACTATATAAATACACAAATAATAATTAAAAAAATCCTTTATTGCAGAACATGTAGTCCATAATTTGTTACAAATACATTGGAAAAGTCTCAAAGTCTATGTACGTAAATGTCAGTAATTAATTACATAATCATGACTTCATATACCTGGGTTGCACACGGGCACCCAGTGCTTCAAAAAAGCACACTCGGGCTTATCGCTAATTACGTTAAGAATGCTGTTGGCGCTACCACGAACCCAGTGCATCATTATCGCGGTTATTTTGTATAAGAGTAGAGAAATTATCTATGTGGGCGTAAACAAATATACCTGATGCCCAACAGTAATGTGGGACCCAGCAATAACCTAAAGGCGTTAATAAACTATATACGTAAGGTGTTGTATGCCCGACGCGTATATCTGACAAAACTGTTCAACTGTTTTTGTTCATACTCACAAAAACATGGGTCCTAACCAGGACTCAAAACTGACTGGTTATAATCTATTATCAACGACCCAGGAAGAAAGGGAATGAAGAATATAAAATTGGAAACTGCATTAACAATGACCTTGAAATACATTTGGTTTTCCAGAATCAGGTCGGCGTCGCTCCAGTGACCTATTTGGACGTCGTTTTGGCAGCAGCGCAGTGTCCTTGCACCTTCCCAGTACATCAGGTCAGTGTCGCAATTAAAATGCACTAGAAAATTATGGATCGTATTTTAAATTGGAATGTTGAATCTATTAAAAAGACCCCTGGTAGATCAGGGACTATTCACTTGCTGTAAATTTGACGGCACGTTTTATTTGCTTAATTATATTGTAAATAAGCCTTGCAATTAATTAACACCAACTACCGGACTTTGAGTTTTTTATCACTGTCACAACACACTGCTGAATATAGGTCTTTTTTAAAATAGTAGAGCCACGGCGCTGTTTACTATGGCTGCATCAAGAATGGATCGGATCGGTAAAATACCAGCTTAATGCTGCTGCGTTTCGTAGGGTGAGTGTAGAGAACCGGAGACCCTTTTTACGGGAAAAGGGGTATTCCATGTTAGCCCTCACGGCTGTAAACGAATCTGCATTCTGATTCACAAACGAGGATTGATGTAGGACCACAGAAACTACTTACGATCAGGTGAACTGTGTGCTCGTTTGTCATCCTTATACTATAAAAAATACCTCGGGATTCCGTCACTCACCATACTAATCACAGCATCAAACGCCTACTATCAAATATCCTGCTACCCATAGATACTTACATCATCTCTCTTAATGTTGCCCAGGTTTCAAAAAGCAGCCCCTGTCAGCTCACAGAAGTCACGAAGAAATTCGCAGCCGTCGCAAGTCACATCACGAGAACCGAGTGGATGACGCTCGTTACCACTCAGCCCCCAGCATCATTGACGAGGTCGTACACAGAAGGGACTGGGAGAGGTCTACTAAAGATTTACATATACCACTTAATCCTGATTCTGCATTTAGTTCCAACACATTAACTCCATATTATGAACAAACTGTGAACGAAGGTCATGTTACACATTCTGAACAAAAGAGCGATGAAGAAATAATTGGAAGGCCTTGTAAAAAACATTATACTAATATCAAAACCTCTCGCAACAAGAAAAATGTAGCGCCAGAAACCTCGCACAAAGAATTAACCGCTGATGATATAAAAGATGAAGACGTTTCTGAACTAACTTCCAATGTGTCCAATTTCTACATCGGTGATTCATCTTGTATGCTTAATAAAGAAAATATAAGTGGTGATAAAGAAAGCAACGCAAAAGAAAGGAAACAATTTAAAGGCAAAGACGTAAAACAATCACTAAACGAGTCAATCAAATTTAGGGATCGACCAAGGAACATTTTGGGTCCTTTAACTGAGTTTCAAGTTTCAGGAGTGTTTGAGATGGAAGTTCCGCCAGACATAGATCGGTCCGGTGCAGTACATCATTTTGAAGAAAGGTCAAATTACTGTGACTCACCTTCGATTCCTTATTCACCACTTCCAATAGGTAAGAACTATTTAAAATACTCACCCCTGTTCCTTAGTTTGTACGAAGTAAAGTTAGAGATAATTTTAGATCAAGTTTTTTTTTGTGTGATTAGAGAAATTACGTCAATTAAGACTTCAAAAAAAACTCTAAATAAAAAAAAAATTGCGCACTGGTCACTCGTGATTCGTGAGTCACCTATTGCTGTGTCAAGACTAGTGCCGCCATGCGGCTCTTCCTACATTCTATCTAAATCCATTCATTCCTTACATCCTATCTAAAATCTATTGCTGAATGAACAATGAAAGAAATGAACAAAGACCTCTTCATAGATTGCTTCATGAGGAGATATGGGGTAGTGGATATTCTTACACCGCTACTATACGGTCAGTATGCTTATATAATCAACAACAAAAAAGAATAATTAATAGAATCAGGTGTTACTTTGCGGAAGTCCATTACATTAAATTTGGTAAAAAATTACTTCGCGTACATCCGCTTGATAAAATAAACTGATGTGTCTTACCTAGTTTGAAGAGCACCTCCCGCCCTCCCTCAATTTCCTGCACTATCACCGTCACCACTAATCCCAGCACCACTACTCCCAACACCACTACACTAGGAAAGACACACCACTGGCGACAATACGACACGTGTATCGCCTCTACACGAGGCATCTTCAGGTAATCTAGACCCTGCAGTTTTTTTAATTATTTTGAGCTGTTATTAGCGTTGTACCTTTTTTTAAAAACAAATATAGTATTTTTGAGAAATTCAGGAAAAAAGTACACATATATTTTTAATCAATACGTATTTTTTCCATGAACAGGTATATCTGTAATTGCTCTTCGCTTTGGCCATCAATAATCTTATTACCTTTAAAATAAGTATGAGAATCTGAGCACCTTAGATTCATATTAAAATAAATAATTACCAATTCATTTCTTTCTTTTTTTTTGGAAGGCGTGCACTTTTCATATTTTTTTTTATTTCATCAGAAAATATGGGTTCAGTTACTTACCTATTTATAAAAATCGGGCGGCATTCATCGACAAATTATTGACAGTTTGACAGTTGACGTTTTGTTGCCGCGAATGCGTTTCGTTCTGAAATTCCCCGTGCTACGCGGCGGGTGCGTCCTAGACTTCCAGTCACAGTTAAGATATAAAAAAACGCGACGGTTGAATTAGGAATGCAAATATAGTATTTTCATACTATATTATTTTTCTTATATTATATTATATAGAATACACTATAAATATAGTAGGTACCATAATATATATTATAGTAAGGGTGGCAGCCCTAGCTGTTATCAGGATAATGATGATCAATTAAATGAAATTAAATTAGATGAGATTAAATTTATTATAATGTAATGTTTTTTTCTTATGTTACTTGTATGGACTCTGTCTGAAATAAATTGATTTTTTATTTTAATTATTCAACAAGTTAGATTTACGAAAACTGCGTTCGTGGTTTACAAAACAAAGAACTAGTCTTCTCGGCCGCTCGCAGTCGACTAAAGAAGTTACGTTGAATTGACCGTAACCTAATGCGCAATGTATTAGTACCGTAGTGCCCGTCTTGTAGTATACATACATAGAAGTCTGCACGGCACGCTTCCCATTTGTTTTATTGTTATTAGAATTGTATGTTCGCAATGCAGATGCGACAGTGTCTCCACTAGCGCCACTGGCGGCGGGCACTGGCGGGGGTGCGGGGGATGAAGGGGCGGGGCCGCGGCGGCGGCTGCGCGGGCGCCACGCCAGCGCCGGCGACGTGCTGGCGCCGGCGCTGCGCCCGCACTCCGCTGCACTCTCCGGTAATGTATAAACACCTTTTGTGAACATTAATATTCCCCCCCCCCCCCCCCTTTATAACACCTTCTTATGAAAGAAAACTTACTAGAAGACCACCTGACGGTAAGTAGCTACTGCAACCAACTTTAAATAATAATATCTAATAAATATAAATTCACCGCGTGTTGTCACCTCTAAGCAAATGTATGGACTAACATGGAATGCCTCACAGCCTGTTTGTTTTTGAGCCCAAAGCAAGAGCTACCTTCCTGGACGCGGGGGAGGGAGGGTGGTGAATGTTCGTAGCATACAACGCAGCCGGCTGCGTGGTTATGTGGGACTCACTATGAAGTGCCTACCTACTAAACACCACCTGTGGGACAGGCTTTGGCCTGTATGGCTTTCTACCGAATCGGAAGCGACAGTGACGTACTCCTATTTGGCTATAAGCCACCAAGATGGCCAGGAGTTCATAGACGTAGACACAAATTATTTGCGTTAATTCCATATGTTATTACAGATGCCGAACCTGTGATAAAAAAAAAAAAACAATTATTGCCACGTGACTTGTCGCCAAATAGTAATTTTAATCAATACACGAGTTTCTTATATTTTAAAAAAAATTATATACGGGTTACCGCACAATAATTAATAATTAATGCATTACTCATAAATTTAGATCACTTTAAAGACAATATTATTTATTAATTATGGCCACATGTATAACTTCCGTACTTTTTTCGTACGTAACTTCTGCTTATACCTACCTCATTTTTATAATAATCATATAATTATATAAAATATATTGCTTTAAAATAAAATCAATGTTAGAACGGTTTTCATTTGAGTTTGTTTCGTACATTAACTTTCCCTTACATTTCGTTTTGCACTCATCTTGTAAACTGTAGACACACTACAAATAACATTCGAAATTCAAACATTTATGAGCGGTGAGAAGCGCAGAATTTTCAATGTGCCCTTCATTGTACATTATCACACGACGGTTTAATTCCAGTCTAATTAATTCCAGGTTTAGTTCCATAAGGGTGACGAGCGAGCACACAGTCCACCTGATGGTAAGTGGATGCTGTGGCCCATAGACATCTACATCTATCTTCGATCAAGAATCAAAATGCAGATGCGTTGTCACTCCTGAGGACTAAGATGGAATGCCTCGTTTCCAGTAAAAAAGGTATCCGGTCCTCTACACTCACTATACGAAACACAGCAGCGTAAAGCTATTATTTCACGCTGGTATTCCGTGAGAGCGTGGTCCTTTCCCTATTGAGCTGACCCTTTCGTGCTGCAACTATACCGGTAATATAACTGCAGCATGGCTCTACCACGTATAAAGTTCAATATAGTTATCGCAAAATTCAAAGCATGTGTTGTTATTTACAGAAAGTGACCTGGACTTTGAGCTGGAATGTTGCGACGAGCCACCCCCGGCCTACGACGAGCTGCAGATGTTGGCCATCTCTCAGAGAAAGGAAACTGCTATATAAATTTTAATTTCTATTAAAGTTTAAAAATGATTCATCACTCAAGTCCTTCATAGAGAAATAATAGCAATTTTTGTTATGACTGGTAAAAACATTGATCGGTATATTCACAAATTAAAGGGTTAAAAAGAGTTTACGATAAAATTGAATCATACGACTAAAGTCGGATACATTATAATCAACATTTAAAAGTTTATAAATACGCACGTTTAGCTTCAGGATTTTAGAATAATGTTACCCTTTTAAATTGAACTGTTTTCAACAAAGTCGAAACTTAATTTAAATTGTCTTTAAATTAGATATTTATTAAAATTACTTATTTTCCATAAAAGTACTCAGCTACATCGGTTTACTTGACCTTAGATAAAAACTAAAATATTCGTACACAATTACACAAATACTATCAAAAAATTCTACGTTTTAAAATCTGTCGTCAGTGAGAATTTCTTGCTTCGATTTATTTGTAATTTTACTTGATATTGACTGAAATAGTTGCAACTATATAAAAGTACAAACCTTAAGGATTATTTTGGCATATAGAGAGTACCTAACTTATTTGCTTTTTGTATAAGTCTGATTAATTACAACTGGTATGATGCAGGTAGTTGATGGATGCTGTTTTGTTGACGCTGATGTTTAAGACCATGTTTTGTGGCATTATTTGGGGGTGGCCTAGTTTAGCAGAGATCTTGTGAAAGGCTGTAATGATGGTGATTAAGAGAATATCATCCAATTAATAATAACCTATTATTAGTCACTTGCAACAATACTACAAAAATATAAAATTGACGAGATTAATTTGGTACAAGTTGAGTTTTAAACAAAACATTTACAGTCTTATACATAAAATGCCTAAAATCAACACTTCACGTAAATTGACTATGATGTTTATATTTAAGTTGCCCAAATGTTTTTGAAATATTATTTTCTTATTAATTTTAGGTTTTGGGTTTACGTTCGAATGTAATTTTTTTTAAACGTAATAACTAATAGTGATTAGTTTTATACGTGGTAGAGCCATGCTGCAGCTATATTAGTAAAATAGTTGTAGCACGAATGGGTCGGCTCAACCGGGGAAGGACCACACTCTCACAGAATACCAGCGTAAAATAGCAGCTTAAGACTGCTGTGTTTCGTATGGTGAGTGTAGAGAACCGGAGACCCTTTTCACTGGAAAAGAGGCATTCCATCTTAGTCCTCACGGGTGACAACGCATCTGCATTTTGATTCGCAAACGAGGATAAATGTAGATGTATATGGGCCACAGCAACCACTTACCATCAGGTGGACTGTGTGCTCGCTTGTCACCCTATCCTATAAAAAAAAATATTTATCTATTCTTTAATGCATTCCCTATTACAAAAGTATACAAAAGGAATCAATCTCATATAATATGGTATTAATTATTTCGAAAAATATCTAGCAGTTTATGATAGCACCATCTAAAACAACAAAAATAAAAAAGGTACAAAATATATTTTTGAAGTTGCAAAAAATTAACCTAATGTTGTTTCGTTTTTATTGCGAACAAAAATAAAATATTTTTTATACTCTGGAGAAATTAAATATTTCTATATTAGCAGCATTAAAGTATAATGTAACGTAGTGCATATAACTTCAATGATTAACAGGAGATTTTAAAGTGAATTAGGAATTATCTGCTACTATAAATTAGTTACCTATGTGGTAACGTTAGATATACTGCAGATATATTTAGTAACTTGGCACAATGACATAGAATAGTTATTCAACATTATTTTTAAGTTCACAGCTGGTCATAAACACCCGTACAGCATTACTACACGGCACGTCAGGGAATTCAATAGAAGGTGTAAATAGCTCAATTATATTTATAAAACTGCCATTACCAATGCTTTCCAAGCGTGGCAATGATGGCAAATATCGCACTTATAAGGCAATTTATGGGGGAGGCCGATGTTCAGCAGTGGACTTTTATAGGACGTAATGGATGTATGTATTGAAGAAAATCTACCAGGAACACATGACGCACTGAGAGGTGAATTTATTAAATCAGCAGTGGACTTGGGATGGGCCAACTTGGGTTGCCAACTTTCGTTTTATATTTTAGAGGATTTAATAAGATTAAATAAAGGACATAGGATGAAAATTAAGAATACGAGATTGTTTTTCAAGCAAAAAATGACATTTATCAAGCAAAAAATGACAGACAGTTCTGTGTTGGGGAAAAACGCTATAGTCCAAGAGCTGGCAGCGAATTTTGGGAAGGTCCTTTTGGCATATATGACCATGTAAATATCTGTGTATATAGTTTGAATTGTTTTAGATCAGTGCTGTAATAATTTGTATAATAGCTATTAATTTTAACCTCGTAAGGCTTGTGCTTGGCAAAACTTGTTTTAATAATTATCGCCTCGTGTTCCTAAAAAAAAAAAACAATAACGCTATTTAAATCCACTAAATTTTTCTGGCGATTTGCAGGTAATAAAATTTTAAAACATTTTAGAGACATTTTAAAAAAACCCAATTAAAAAAATATTACATTAGGTACTTATACTCACGGGAGTGACAGAGAGGCGGCAAACATCAAATCCGTTGATGTTCGCCGCCTCACACTTTGATAATCGCCGCCACTCGGCTTGCTCGATCAAATTCTTTGAGGTCCGAGGCCGCCTCACGAGCAACACATCAAAAGATTTATTGCTTCTCAATTATTCTAAACTAGTTTATTCCAGAATATTCCTTCATTTTGCCTATATAAGCGGGTGGATGGCCCGAACGTTAGTTCAGTTCTATTTGAGCTACCGAGGAGATAACTTGGACAAGCGATATCCTAGTGAACTGCTCGAGCCGTCAACTTGCTTTCTAACTTTGTGTGAATCTTGAGTGGTTACTAACTATAGTTTGTTATTAAGTTTATTGAACGAAAAGTAACAAAAATGATGTCTGGTGGAAAGAAACGAAAAGTAGATACAGAGGGTCGCCAGTTTCAAGAAAAAGGACTGAAGAATTCTTTTTTATCTTGCACAATGGTAAGCCTATTTGTTTGCTGTGTAATGAATCCATTTTAGTAATGACAGGACAATTAAGAATAGAAAAAATCCAGAAGCTTACCGCAATTTTGGAAAAACAGCAACAAATGTTTCATAAACAAAGAACACAACTTGATAATGTTGTGAAAGCTAGTTTTATACTTAGCTCAAAATTGGCAAAGACATTAAAACCATTTACCGAAGGAGAATTTATCAAGGAGTGTATGTTAGAAGTTTGCGGTATTTTGTGTCCTGAAAAGAAAAATGAATTTGAAAAAATTAGTTTGTCAAGACGAGCTGTTGTTCGATGTATAGAAATGATGGCTAATGATATAAAAAGAAACATTGACTGACCGTATGGCTGGTTTTGAATCATTTTCCATAGCATTAGACGAGAGCACCGATTTATCTGACACAGCTCAACTGGCTATATTTATTCGAGGTGTTGATAAGGAGTTCACTGTTACTGAGGAATTGCTTGCTTTACAGCCGCTAAAAGGAACCACTACAGGAGAGGATATTTTTATTGAAGTTCAAAAGGTATTCACAAGTTTTGGCTTGCCATGGTCAAAATTAATTGGAGTATGCGCTGATGGTGCACCTTCTATGGTCGGCTTACGTAAAGGTTTCATCGGAATTTTGAATGAAAAAGTAACAGAATTAAATGTACAAAAAGATGATTTGATAGTCCTTCATTGTAAGTCCATTCGACTCCAGAATGTTATGAATGTGGTAGTAAAAACCATCAACTTTATTCGATCCAGAGGGCTAAACCATCGTCAGTTCAAGGCGTTTTTGGATGAAATATCAGCTGAATAAAACGACGTAACATATTATTGTGAAGTCAGATGGCTGAGCAAAAGAAAAATGTTGAAACGGTTTTACGAGCTTAGAAATAAGATAGCAGACTTTATGAAAATAAAAGATAAACCACTATCTGAATTAAGTGACCCAAAATGGATATGTGACTTGGCATTTCTGGTCGATCTTACAGGCTATTTGAATGATTAAAATTTGAAACTTCAAAAGCAAGGACAGTTAATATATGATTTGTACAGCCATTTGGAAGCGTTTCAGATCAAACTACGCTTGTGGGAATGCTGCGTATGAAAATATTGCTTATGCTCAATATGCTGAAGAATACAAGTTACTGTCTAAACAATTTTCGAACAAATTTAGAGACTTCAAAAACATGGAAAGCTGTTTCAGTTTATTTGCTACTCCTACAAAATATAATGTACAAAATGCTCCAATACTGTTACAAATGGAGTTGATTGAGATTCAAGAAAATTCACTCCTAAAATCCAAATTTGAAGACGTAGAGTTGTGCGATTTCTACAAAAAATACCTAGAAGAAGACAATTTTCCGCAGCTTAGAAAATTCACAAGAAGATTGATTTGTGCGTTTGGCAGTACTTATAAATGCGAACAGTTCTTTTCATTGATGAAAGTTAATAAATCAACACATCGTACAAGACTGACTAACGATAATTTGGAAAATTCTTTACGTCTTTGTATCAGTGGAATTAATCCAAATGATGGATTGCTTTCACAAATTCAAGCTCAAGTGTCTCGTTGATTTCGGTGTATTTAACTTTCGTAGTTTGTAACAATTGCAAATTTAACGATTTAATTATAATGTACCATTTTACTAAATTTCATTTTGTTATTTTAATAAATTGTACTATAATAACATTGTCGTATTATTTCATGTCTAATATCTATCGCAAAAAATATTATCACTACTTTAAAACGCACTAAGTACTTTTAAACGCGGCTCGCGAACGTATTTGCACGCTAAAGTTTGGCCTCAACATTTCAAAGGTTGCCCATACCTGCTTTAAACTGAAGAAAACGTCTGGTATTTTTTTAATTATATAAAAACAGAGTAAAAATATAAAAAAAAATCAGGTTGGCATTTTTTTTTTGCAAATGGTATATGCTGAGCAGTAACGAAATAACCGCAAACGCTCTCCCAGACTCGCGGGACTG